GAATCACATTGGTCTTTGAATCGCGTTCGCGATCTTTAACGATCTATTAAATTAAAGTGCTTTGTCATGTTGGTGGTGACACATCTCTTGCAACATGTTTAGCTATCACAGATATTATACTTAGCTTTTTTGCCTTCTGATTGCTAATGTAGCCAATCTTTGGAGCGCTTAGATTAGCGAGCAAGGTCCTGGCAGATCGCTAGGTCCGGTCCTCACAGATGAAGAAAAAAAAAAGCGCATAGGAATCGATAGGCGGAATCGAAATTTTTATTTGACAACAAGTATCCGATTCCTGACCTCAAGTATCCGATTCTGGAATCGGAATCGATTTTCGATTCCCAACCCTAGTAACAGGTAGTTCCTTCTCTATCTTTCTATCCACAAGCGGGTCCTTGGCCTGAAAACGGTTGAAGACTCCATCATATTGCATTATTAATAATAATCAAGTTCTTTGCCTCCTCTCTCTTAGTAATGGAGGGATTGCTGAGATCTTCACTGTGTTTGCAAAGACTCCCATGAAGGATGAAAAGACCGGAGAGATGAAGGACAAAATTACAGCATTTATTGTGGAGAGGAGCTTCGGAGGAGTCACACAGTTAGTGCTTGTTTTGTCTCCTTTCTGATCAGGAATCTTTTGAGTTGACATTTTCGCTGACCATTTCCCCTGTCTGTCATCATCTTTCTTGATTGTCTCTTTATCTGTTGCTCTTTTTAAATTCAGTTTTTCTTTTTCTGTCTCTCAGTGGTCCTCCTGAGAAAAAGATGGGCATTAAAGCATCCAACACAGCAGAAGTGTATTTTGAGAACGTGCGTGTCCCTGCGGAGTGTGTGCTGGGAGAGGTTGGAGGTGGATTCAAAGTGGCCATGAACATCCTCAACAATGGCCGCTTCGGCATGGCCGCTGCCCTCTCTGGCACCATGAAGGGTGTCATCGCCAAAGCGGTGCGTATGTGTGCTATAGTGCACGTTATCAGATGTTTGTTCTGTTTGCCTCTTTGAGTGTGTAATGCTGAACAAAGTTTTTCTCGCTTTCTTTTTCGATTCCTCTTCTCGTATTTAGTCTGTCTAGCATGCTGTTTTGTTAGGCCACATCCTCCCACCCGCCAACACCCCTATCATCCTCACTTCCTCTGCTTAATATGCAGGGAAATTCCTCCGCACGCATTGCACTGTCCCCGTGCTGTGTGGCATCTAAGCTCGTATTGGCACATGCCTCACCATAATTTTCCCGCGTATTTTTCTCTCGCTGCTCATCATGGTTGACTGATTTCTTAAAAGCTGTGAAAGTTACGAGTTCTTGCGCAACTGATGAAATACAGCTTGAAGGCACTGTAAGTCGTTGTAAAAGCGTCTGCCAAATACAGAAAAACTAATGAAATTTCTGCTGAAATGAAAGCAGTTCTTAAATGTGCAAATTTGTGGTTGCTAAAAATAAATCAAAATGTACAGAAACAGGATGCTTGTGCACTTATAGCAATATGCTCTCATGAAATGTGCTGTTGCTGAGTGATTGTGGGCTACAGCAGAGGGAGGAGGATATTTCTCAACAGCCTCGGTGCTTGCTCTTACCGCAGGCATCTGTGTTTGTCTCTGTGTTTGTGTATCCGTGTGGGTCTTCAGTTACTGGTTTGTTTGAAGGTTAGATTGAACATGTCAAGTCATAAAAAGAAAGCATGAATTCGGGCATGCATATGCTGAAAACCGTACCGTGATGTAATTTGATATATATGTCTTTTCACATATTTGCATACAGAATTTTTAAACCTGCCAAATGAAAATTCCAGTCAGGTTTATGTCTCATCAGTGCATTTAGGTGTATTTCATTACTGCAATAATTCCAGGTAATTTTTTGATGAAGTTGAATATATGAGCATTTTTTGCATGTGCCGTTTCTGCAAAATCTTTTTTTCAAGCTATTATTTTTCCAAAATAACCTCACTTTTTATTTTGAGAACTCTGATTTCACCAGTTAGCTAAATAGTCTCTATATTTCTTCTTCTTTTTTTTTTTTTCCTCTCTTCTCTCACAGGTTGACCATGCTGCTAACCGGACTCAGTTTGGCAACAAGATTCACAACTATGGTGCCATTCAGGAAAAGATGGCCAGAATGGCAATGCTTCAGTATGTGACAGAGGTGAGCTTACCTACTGCTTTCACATCTTGACTTTCCCCTCAAGGAACAAGGACATTTGAGAGTCAAACACTGCCTACTAACTGTATGTCATCTATTTATTGAGTCAAGTAAATACTGCTTTTGTTTGATCCTATAGATCAAGCAAATTTACACAGTTCAAATGCGAAGCATCTGTAATGGGCAGTGTGCTTTTTATGGACTTTGCAGATATCAGCGTTTTAGCTGTGTACACTTGCAGAGCTCAGTCCATGAATTCCTTACTTCCACATGACTTAGAGGAAGTGGAAGCTTCCCCCTAATTTCTGAGTGATTTGAGTGGGTCACGTGTGGTTAAAGTCTAAAAATACAGTCTATTTATCATCTATTGTGTTTCCATGTCTGTTTTCCATTTTGGAGTTGATTGTTCTGATTAGTGTGTTCTTCTTTTTTTCCCTTCTTTCATCTTTTCTCCATGGACTTAGTCCATGGCTTACATGGTTAGTGGGAACATGGACAGCGGAGCCACAGAGTTCCAGATTGAAGCGGCCATTAGTAAAATCTTTGCTTCTGTAAGTGTTTAACATATTGTATATCCCAGTTGTGCTAGTTTTTAATCCCACATACATATTTGGGAATATTTTCGAAATTTTTATGAAATGAATGAATGAGGCATTTATATAGCACTTTATTGTGTAATGCTGTACACCCAAAGTGCTTTACAATCATATGGGGGGATCTCTCCTGATGTGATGTTTAAAGAATATATTGCAAATTCACCATATCGCTGGGTTTCCTTTAGGAAGCAGCTTGGTTGGTGACAGATGAATGCATTCAAGTTATGGGTGGAATGGGATTCATGAAGGTCAGTGTGTGTGTGTGTTGATTGTGTTGTGACTGGATTTTTAAAATGTATTTTGTGATGCTTAAGTCAAGTCAAATTTATTTGTATTGCCCTTTTCACAATACACATTGTTTCAAAGCATCTTTACAGAAAGTCATACTGTTATATCCATAGTGCCTTAAATGAATAATTCACCCAAAAATGTCAATTTTCTGAAAATTAATCACCCTCAGGCTGTCTAAGATGTTGATGTGTTTTTTTTTTTTGTTCATCTGAACAGATTTGGATAAATTTAGCATTACAACACTTGCTCACCAATGGATCCTCAGCAGTGAATGGGTGCCATCAGAATGAGACAAACAGCTGATCAAAACATCACAATAATCCACATAACTTCAGTTCAATTAATGTCTGGTGAAGGGTTTGTAATAAACTAAATCATCATTAAGAAGTTTTTAACTTGAAACTTGTTTTTCAGCTAAGTCCACTATCCATAAAAATGCTTTCTCTGGTGAAAAAGTTGTCTTGTCTGAATCAGGAGAGAAATATGCACAGATCAAGCACCTTTGTATGCACAGAAATATGCACAGATAAGCTAAAGCAGTCCAAAACATTTCTAAACAAATATGTCGGTGGATTTTGATGTGAGAGGACAACAGGGTTATGGATTATTTACTCCTATTTTGGCCAGAAGTGATGGTTTTAAGAGAACCACTTTAATGAAGGATTTGTTTCTTACAAACACGCAGCTTCTCACTTCACAAAACATTAATTGATGGACTGGAGTGGTGTGGATTACTTGTAGATTATTGTGATGTTTTTATCAGCTCTCATTCTGACGGCACCCATTCACTGCAGAGGATTCATTGGTAAGTAAGTGATGTAATGCAAAATTTGTTTATATCTATTCTGAATCTCAAACTCATCAACATCTTAAGAATAAGTAAACTTTCAACAATTCAGACATTTTTGGATGAACTATTCCTTTAATGCTTTAACATACAGCAAGTTTTACGACTGGTTTGTATGATTCTCTGGTTTTAGATCGAGGTATATTGCATTTATCATATGGTGTATGGTGTATATGGTGTATTGAATATATCAGCGCCAAAAATAAATATGAGGGATAAATATTAGTAATATTTTTATTGTCAGCTTTCTCAGAAACCAGACTCTGTCAGGGTGGAAGTCTAATTTTGGCACAATAGCATTGCAACATTATAGTGTCTGCGTTGTGACTCAAAGTGTGAACATTCATAAACGCCTACTTTGTGGGCAATCACCCCCTCAAGGCCTAAATGTTTTGTCCCGGGGGTGGTGGAAAAACTGGAGGTGTCTTGCAAAGGAAGACCTCTGCAACAATGTGATTGGTTAGCGAGGGGGGGACACGGCTGTGCTAACCTTTCACGCCGCAACACAAAACCATACGCAGATAAAATTGGCCTTTGCTGAATGTAGGTCATGTCTGTATGTTGACTGTGTGGCTGTGTTGTGTTGTATTGTTTTGTTTTTGTTTTCTCATGTCAGTTGAGATGCCACACATGTGCTGCTGTAAAACTGAAGTAGTTTTCCCAGTCTGAACATGTTGCGTATGCAAAATGTGTAGATGCAGCCTCTAGCCACTGATCAAGATGAGCTGTTTCTAGAGAAGAGTTTCATCAGTTCCTCTTAATCTGTCTCTTTTATGGGCTACTGATCAGTTAGATTAAAACAACAAGTCTCTCAGATCCACTTGTTTTTATACTATATACAGGGGTGCACATAAGTTTTTCAGCCTGGTTCTCATAAGAGAACCTGGAGATTTGGTTTAGTCCTCACACTGCACATAGTGTGACCCATTAAATATAACTATAAAAAAACATTAATAATAGTGATAATAATATTATTGCACTTATTTTAGTTTTTTTGTAATAAAATAATAAACAAAATAATAAAGTGTGATAATACTATTATATTTTAAAATATAAAGAGTATTAAATAATAATAAATAATTTTATGGTAAACTTAAAAAAAAAAAGCTAATATTTACTTCTTTATATATATACTTAACAAAATTTAAGACTGGTAGTATATCATGGTTCCCACAAGAATACAAGGCAGCAAAAATTGTTTTCAACTTTGATTTAAAAAGAAGAAAAAAATAATTCTTGAACTAAATCAGCATATTAGAATGATTTCTAAAGGATAATTTGACAATGAAGCCTGGAGTAATGGCTGCTGAAAATTTACATTTGTCATCACAGGAATAAATAAATTTTTAAAATACATGTGTGTGTGTGTGCCGTAACTTTATTTCCATCATGAGGATTTTTGAAAATTACTTCCATCATGTTCTCATGTATTTCCTATTTAAACTGAACTAAAAGAATGAATTGATTATTTTTGTGGCACTTTGACATCACTCTCTGTACAACATGTTATTGATGCAGGATGCTGGTGTGGAAAGGGTATTGAGGGACCTGCGAATCTTCAGAATCTTTGAGGGTACCAATGACATCCTGCGACTGTTCGTAGCGCTCAACGGCTTCCAGGTAAAAGGGGAAAACACTGCTGAGAACATAACTGCCTGCCTTACAGCTTCCTGTTCTACAAAACCACCTAAAGCTCACATCACGTGTGGTTGTTGACATCTGGCACTGCTAAAAATTGGTATTGGAGTTTGCCAATGCACGTGTTTTTAATGCAAACACCGTATGTAAATTACACTTTCAAATGTGTGTTCTGTTCGGTAGAATGCAGGCAATCAGCTGAAGAGCTTGCAGAAAGCTCTGAAGAACCCTCTTGGTAATGCTGGGGTGTTGGTGAGTGAAATCACCAAGCGAGCCAAGAGGTTAGACCTTCATATCTCTAAAAAACTCTTGCAAGACATTTTGTTGTGTTTTGCAGTGTCATGTTCTTTGCATCAACTTGATAAACCTGCAATATGTCTGTCCTTATCTCTCCGTCTCTGACAGGAAGGCAGGCTTGGGGACAGGACTAACATTGCAAGGAACGGTCCATCCAGAGCTTAACCACAGTGGAGAATTGGTAAATTAAAGCAAAGCCATAGTGCTTGGACAACACTGAAACAATGTTCAGCCAATGCTGAATGATATTTACTCAAAATAATACCACGAAATGAAACCACCAATAATACCAAAGCCTAAATATTACAGGCCTAAAATAGTATTTTCTTCCCCTCTTAAAAAGACTGTTAAAGCCATTGAGCAATTTGGAGCTGTTATTGAAGAGCTTCTTCTGAAACATGGAAAGAGAATCATTGGTGAGTGATGTGTTTGCCTTGTGCTGCTACTGATAGATCTTTGTTAGATTATTGGCATTGGCAATTTGCCATGGACTTTTTTGTGTTGTGCATGTTAACTCTTCCTGGTTTCAACTTTCTTTCACTTTACATATTTACAGCTAAATACTGTGACAGAAGCTTTTGTCAAGTGTCCATTTGAGCGTGTGACTTGGAACTTTTCAAGTGATTCTGTACATGTGGCTTTTCAGATGAACAATTTGTTCTGAAGCGAGTTGCAGACTGTGCCATTGATCTGTACGCCATGGTCGTGGTCTTGTCCAGGTAAGTTTTTTTTTAAATGTATTAGTTTGTATACAACCTTTACAACTGCTCATGCTAAGGCTTTGTTTAAAATCCATAACCCAAAGTGTGAAACTTTGACACAGTTTGTGCTGCAGACACAAAGGTTACCTCAAATCGTGCAGCTTGTAAAGGAAAGCTGTGCTTAAAAAAAATACAAAAAAAATGCAGTTGAGTTACAGTGAATGAGTGACTCAAGCTGAACAGAATATCATAGACACTTTTGGATAGGCGCTGCTAACTTGGGACAGTAAGCTCAGATTTCCTTATGAAAACATACAAATCTGGTTGTTTATGTACTAATGAATGTATTTCCTGTATGCCCATGCATTACTAGAAATAGAGTTGATAATTGTCTAATTAAAGGAGAGATCATTCAGCTCTACTTATGTTTATGTGTGTTTACTCGTCTTGCTTTCTCAGAGCGTCCAGGTCTCTCAGCCAAGGCCACCCTTCTGCTCAGCATGAGAAGATGCTGTGTGAAACCTGGTGTACTGAGGTCAGTGTTTAGTGTCCATGTTTCCTTTTTAAACTTCTCCCCATCTCATCTTTAAGCATTAATCCCTGATTTCTTTCCTTTAGGCCCATGAGAGAGTCATGCAGGACATCAAGTTCCTCGGGTCAGGGACGTCCAAGCAGATCTTCAAGAACTTGCGTGCCATTTCTGCTGCTGTGGTAGAAAACGGAGGAGTGGTATCTCCTCATCCTCTGGGCTTTTAAAGCTCTGCTCTTCCTCCCATCACCCAACCATTTCTTTTCTAACCAGTCAGTCAAAGCTTGCCCATATTTCTTTACCCAGACTGTTCAATGCTGCAATCCTTTATGAGTGGAGTCTGTCACATTGTGTACTTCGACCACAGGAGTGCTTTAATATTTCATAATAAAGTATGTAAATTAATAAATAGGACGTGTAAATTTAGGTGTACATTGAAGAATTGGATTTGTGTTTGTTTATAAAAAAATGTTGATTAATATTAACCAGTAATGAAAACTAATCTGCTTGGAAGAGCACTTTAGACTTGTCATCAAACCTCAGCCCAATATCCGGTCCAGCTGCTAGCATTTTGCAAATGTTTTCAATTTGTCATTGTTGGTCAACATTTTTATTTAGCGGTTTTACATATTGAACCTAAACTTTAGCTGTTCCCATGGTTTTAATGTGAAATGTCTTGTCCAGAGTTACCCAAAAGTTTGTTCTCATAACTAAAATAGAAACTCTTTTGAGTTACATATCATGAACAAGTCGTTTGTCTCGGTTACTTTTTTTTTTTTTTTTTTTTTTAAATGGGACTTGTGAACTAAATAACATTATGCTCTTAAAATAAATACAAAAGGTCTTTATTACAAATGGGCAATACCACATCAACATCTGCGATTTAGAAATTACACATATCTAATCTATTCTTCTTTCATTTTCGGTGGCATCTCCCAGTAGGCATGTAATTACTTCTAAAGCAAACATACAAAAAACACGTGTTAACCGTATACAGCTGCACCAGCCTGACGTAATTATAAATACTCACTCTGTGTTGCAGTGCTTAACGATATTTGAAATCTCCCAGTATCATACGTTTTGTCCTTTCACCAGTGCATTCGTTTCTGAATGCAGTATATTGTAAAGAGACCGTTTATAGGAAATTGTAATAGAACGTTAGTGACCTTATTAAGCAAGTGTGTCTTGAAAACTCAGGATGCTGTGGTTACAAACATTGCGTATCAAATACTACAAATCTTTCAGTGTCACCAGTTTAACTACACATAAATTACAATTTCATTAAACCTGTTTCACAGTCTAAGTTTTATAGTTGGTTAATTTGGGTCATTAGCTTATATATATGACTGCAAAATACTGTTATGTTTTGCCAAAACAAAGGATACTAGAGATTTTAGAAAAATAAGAATTCACATCCTAATTGTTACTTGTTCGCATGACAATAAGTCACCGGTACTATTTACAGTTAATATTCACAGTTGACGATGTCTTCAGCAAAAGTCATTCCTGAACAATGTAGCTGCTGTATTTTACTCCAACTTAATGAAGTTATGGCTTGCAGAATGAAACTAACAGTTTTCTAAAAGTCACAACTTTGTTTTCTCAGTGAAAAATGTGTTGAACTTAAGATATGCAGCACATCGGATGGATTGCATAGCGTTTGTCTTGGTAAGTAAATATTCCTTTTGAAGAACTCATCATCAGGTCTGTCTCTTACTCCAAAGATGTCACACAGTCGTCTGTGAGATCTCTCTTGATAATAACGTCTCTGAAGTCATTCTCCTCTCCCTGAAATAAACACAGCATGTTAGATTATTTAGAATTCCAGCATGGATTTCATATCATGTACAATTTGGTTGTCAATCATTTTTCGGTATCTTTCGTTTTTCTGACTTCTGAAAGAAACCTGCCTAATATGGTTTGGCGGGTTTTTGTTTTGTTTTTGGCGCTGATTTAAGATGGCCTCCCAGCCTGTACAAACTGGTGCTCATCTGGATTAGTTGAGCAAAACCCCTCTAATATCAGTCTGATCAGCCTGGTAGATTAGCGAACCAGCGTAGAGAAGACTTTTTTTATTTGTCAGTAGTTGCTCAAGTTTGAAAACATGACAGATGAGAGTCTGTGGTCTTAGGTGTGAAATGCGGCTTTAGGCTTTGATAAAACCACCAAATAATAGAAAGTAGGCACCAGTTCCCTTGAATAAACATTGACACCTTTCTAAATCTTTATCATAGGTCAGTAAGATTTGGGGTCAGTAAGATTTATTATATACCAAAAAAAAAACTTTTTTTTCCTGCAAAGATGCATTAAATTAAAAGTGACAGTAAAGACTTGTTTACAAAAATATCTTTTTCAAATAATGTATTACGGTTAACACAAAAACCTTAAGCACGTGTGACACTGAAGACTGGAGTAATGATTCTGTAAATTCAGTTTTGCCTTCACAGGAATAAATGTATAAAATATATTAAAATAGAAAACTGTTAAAATCCATTTTTACTGCTTTTTTAATCACTAAATGCAACCTGGGTAAGACTTTAAAAACATAAAAAATCTTACTGACTCTAAACTTTAGAACTGTAGTTTAGATGGAGTGGGCCAAATGTACGATATACTTTTTGTTATTTTCTCTTGATGTGGGAATATTTGGCTCCCACACACATTTATCACAATATTTATCTTATTGGACGGCAATTGTTCTCTTGAGACCAAGCAAAATCAACAGTATTTAGAATCCAAATATATTTTTACTCTTGCATTATATTATCTTTTAATATCCGGTCAGAAAATGATTAATATTATTATATATCCATATTACTATTATAATATATATATTCATATATCGCATTTGGCCACACCCCCAAACATTTGAAATGACAGAAAATATCCTGTTTAAGATACTTTAATGCAGTAGTATATTAACCAAAAATAGCTGAAATTATGTCATTTCTTTCAGGACGTATATGATTTTTTACATCTCATAATATTTAATTAAGTTCCAACAATACTGTTCCTGAATAGGCCTGTCGTTAGGCTGCTTGTTTTGACTGAGTTGTGGGGGAATCTTTGGACGAGTCATACAAAAATACGAGCAAACGTGTTAAACATGCTTTTCATTTTTAGTGAAGTGGTATAAACTCTATTTTTTGCAATTCTTTTTTTTTAAAATAAAGGTTCTTAAATAGGTCTCTTTTTTTATGAAGAACCATTACAGGGTTCTTCAGTTGTCTGTTTGTCGTGTTTTTCCTGTTCCTGAATAGGCCTGTCGTTAGGCTGCTTGTTTTGACTGAGTTGTGGGGGAATCTTTGGACGAGTCATACAAAAATACGAGCAAACGTGTGAAACAGATGCTTTTCATTTTTAGTGAAGTGGTATAAACTATTTTTTGCTATTCTTTTTTTTGAAAATAAAGGTTCTTAAATAGGTCTCTTTTTTATGAAGAACCATTACAGGGTTCTTCAGTTGTCTGTTTGTCGTGTTTTTTTGTTTGTTTTTGGAGTATTTTTGCTTCTTTAAATCAGTTAATGGAAGATAGAGTAGACCAGCGGAATAAATGTCTCTTCTATAACATGAAGATGTAAAAACATGATCAAAAGGAACGTTTATATTTAAGAGTGTATGAAAATCCATTCAACAGAAGCCATTCTTCTCCAGACCACAGTCCACGTAAAACAATAACGTTTTTGTCTTAAACCAATTTAAAGTCTTAACACAAGTTTGAACTTCTTGGCTAGCAAGTGCACGTTACCAAATGCACCTAAATTGCGATGCGTAATGCGCCTTCGCAAGGACAAGTAGGCGGTAAACAATTATTCTAGGCTACTGTATTCACCTACCTTTGCTGGCGACGCCGATTGGGATGTGTGATGTTGACAGTCCACTCCAAAATGCGCTTCAACCGGCCGGATAAACACGGGAACCGGTGATTAAGATGTTCCAGCAGTTCCTCTTTACGCAGTCCGTACACGATCGGCGCAATGCACTGCGCCAGGCTGAAGAAGGCAAAACTTATGACCGCAAAAAGCTCTTTTGTGGATCTGTCGAGTAACTCATTGCGGTAAAGGATATACAGAAAAAACAGTATGAAATTGGGGAGGATGTAGACGGCGAGCTGCGTGCCGTGGAGAGCGATAGTCCTACACGCAGCTCGGTTGCGCCGGTTCAACACACCCAGACGACGCCCCTCATATAAGATCCGTACATAGCTGTACACGATAAGAACAGTGCAAATTGTTATTAGAACGATTTTGTGCATTTCTCCGCCTTGTAGAGCTTCCCTTCCACAGGGCACAGTGTCATTTATTTTGGGCGACAGGGTAAGAGGAATAATCGACGCGAGTCCCCATGTTAAGATACCGATGAGCCACGGCCAGGGTTTGAAACAAACTTTGCTATAGTGGAGCGGGTAACATATGGCAAAGTAACGGTCCAGCGCCATCGCCGTGATGGTGAGGATGATATTGGAGCCGCTTGTCATCAGACCTTTGATTAGCGTCATGCATATGTTTCGCGTGGTCGCTGCTTTCAGGTAGCTTTGTAAGTTAAAGCTAAAGCTTACTGCGAAGTAAACCAGCGCGGAGAACAACAAGTGGAACACGAGAACGAAGCGCGCGTGGCTCCGCAGGCGCGCCTCGCGCACTATAGTCCAGTTGATGAGCAAGTTGAAAAAGGCCAAAATGATCAAAGAAACCCCCGCTGCCCAAACACGTATGTATGGATACGAGTTGGCATCACCTGTAGTAGCATTTGTCATCCTAGCGCTTCTTCAGGCCTCGCTCGTACAGTAGTAGAACCAAAACGTTCCAGAACAAAACGCTTTTAACAGGTGCGCACGGTTCATTTGGCTCGACGTTGGTCAATGTTTCTCCAAAAATCCGAATGTTCATGTGAATTCGTTTGGTGGATCTGTTCGGTCAAAAACACCAGCGGTCCTCGCGTAAAAGTCAGCCTAGTGATGGAAAGAGTCAACTTCACGTTTACTTCCCTCTCTAGAGCAGGAGAGAGAGAG